GTAATATTGATATATAATATAATGTGTATTGTTTATTTAGTAAACTCTAGTGGTTTAGAAATTTTGATATTTTTTTTGTAAAATTTAAAAGATAATTAAATAAATGTTACTACACCCAAAAATCATTTTTTTCAGTGTAGTTTTATATTTCCTCTTGCCTCCATGTTCTGGGCGTTTGAATTTAGCCCCATGTATTTTGGACTTTTACACACTATAACCCAGCAACTCCTGTAGTCACAGAAACATGAAGCTGTGTGGAGATGGAGGTGTAGTTTAGATCTTTAAAATGGATATCTATAATCTTCTTTCTGAGTTCCTCATGCAGCGCTCACCGTTTCTTTCACTGGGCCATGTTCAGTGTGGTGCACACAATACAACTTGCACAGTGGCATGTTTGTTCTGTTTAAAGAGACTGATGGAAAGCTTAATGGTACCTACGATGAAGGGAACATGCATTTACCGATGGTGCTGAGGCTGTGAATGTATCTGTCTGCTTGATTAGCATGTCTAGTCAATCCACTCATTTATTCAAGTCCCAGTAGACTTTAACACTCAGCAAACCTTTTTGCGCAGTCTATAATCAGAACACATACTTTGTGTGGTAACACAAATGTTGTTCATTTGAGGAAACTGTGACAAACTGAAGAAATATCGTGCAAAAGTGTGGAGATATTAGCCAACATGGCAGTCTCTCTCACTTGTGTTTTTGAGAATGTTTTTAACATCCTAAAAAGAAACATTAAAAAAGAAACAAAGAACCTCATTTGTCCAGTAATGAATCAAGCCTAGACTTTCTCTCCATGCCCCATGCTCTTTGGCTGAGAAGATACTCACTACTAATAACTAACAGACAGGACATCACTTGAGACTATCCGTCAACATTTTGTCTCCTGTTGTGTCCTGCAGGTGGGGGTCTGACCTTCAGACGTGGTTTGTTCAGGAGCATTGGTCGTCCAGAGACCATGATGTCTGTGTGTTATGGCCACAGCGAGGCCTTGGTGTTCTCTGGAGCCGCCACTGGAGACGTTTACATCTGGAAGGAGCCGCTGCTGCTGAAAACGGTGAAAGCCCACGACGGGCCGGTGTTTGCCATGTTCTCCCTGGACAAGGTGAGGAGGAACCTCCTGAGCTTTCATCTCAACCTTACAGCAGAGGTTTACTGCTTATTTAATGCTTGTTCTGACTGAAACTCAAACTTTAGCTTCATAGATTCAGCAGCACCTCCAGAAATGTTTTAACACAGTGAAAATCCAGGGTGGTACCAAAACCAAAAGCCAGAACAGGATTACAGGAGATCTGCTGTGTAGTTGTCATATTANCAGACAGACAGACAGACAGACAGACAGACAGACAGACAGACAGACAGACAGACAGACAGACAGACAGACAGACGCGACCGAAAACATTACCTTCTCACTTGGCGGAGGTAATAATAAAATATTTAATTTTTACTATTGTTGTCTAACTCAATTCAAAATGCTTTTCTCGTAGCACCTTTAAGAAATTTGGAAACTGGATCTAAAAAGTTGCAAAACAACAAAAGCATGAGAATAAACAATCAGTGAACAGAATAAGAAGTAAAGATACTGTTTAGCATTTTGAATGTTGCTTGTACTTTTAATAAAAGCTAACTGCTCCAGAGATTAGATGCAGCCAATTTAAAAGAAGAAGATTTATTTGTTTTTAGCCTGATCTTATTGACATTTTTTTTGGCAATTGGTTGTCTTTCACTTGTTGTTTACACAATCAGGTAAAACATTCTAAAACATCCCATCAAATAAGACACTGATCAAGCAGTATAGCAGGTCTCTTTAAATCTTAAAAGACTCAGAGGTTGTTATGTTTGTTTTAAAAGTCAGCAGCCTGGTGATACCACCCCACCATGGTTAGCCATAGAACAGGACATCGCTACCACTTCTCTTCCAGCAATACTTAACACAACTAAGAGAAGTCCTGGTCCACTTAAAGGTCTTAAATTTATAGCAGGGCAATCATTAAAAGTATTGTATCAAATTAGAAATACTTTCAAACTGACGGACACTTCTATTTTTGCCCCCATTTGTCATAATCATGCATTTCATCCCTTGCAGACCCAATTTTCTCCTGGAAAGGGAAAGGTCTGGTTACTGTAAAAAATTTGATTTGTATATTGACAATGTCTTTGCCTCATTTGACCAACTTAAAAACAAATTTGATTTACAACCATCTCGTTGTTTTTAGTATTTGCAAATAAGGAATTAAACAAAAATAAACATTCCCCATTTTGGAACATATAACCGACCAGACGAAGTATACTCTCTTCTGACAAAGAAACCTGAGACTCAAAAGCCGGTGTCTAAGTTTGTAAATGTATTTTCAACATTGACTGTCCCAAGTACACAACACTTGATAGAATGCTGGCAGAGGGTATTATTATCTCAGAGAATGCTTGGTGTGAATGTCTTTATAGCATACATAAATGTTCAATTAACTCAAGACATCAACCAATTCAGTACAAGGTTATACATTGGCTTCATTATTCACGGGTTAAGCTGCACTCGTTCTTTCTGTCTGTTTCACCCCATGTATAAAGTGTAAACAGCTAGATGGCACTCTGACACTGTTCTGGTTTTGCAGTAAATTGCAGAGATTCTGGTGTACCGTAATAGTTAGGGTTGTATTCTACATGGATGTTCTGTTCTGTACATCAAAAATGCATAAATAAAATTTATAAAAAATCAGCAGCCTTTTGATGATCCATTTTCCTGTGTTTGTCCTTCCAGCTGATGGAAAGAGTCTGGTTTCAGTTGGAGTGGATGACGGACACTCCATCGTTGTTTGGGATTGGAAGAGAGGAGAGAAATTGGCTACAGCTCGGTACTGCAAATAAAATTATATAAAAGTTTTACTGTACGACTACTGTAACTACTGCTGGTTACAATAATACAATAATTTATTTCAGGCACCTCCTCAGTTTTATCCTTACATTTATGTCCTGGTTCTTTTTGTTGCATTCCCTTTGCATCGAATCAAACAGCCGGATCATTTTAAAGCCACGTTGTAAAAGATTAAATAATTTCTAAAGTGAATTGTTTGAGACAATTGTTTTTTTTTTTTTCAGTTCAAACCTGTGTGTTTACAAATAAGAGATGGAAATAAAAAGAACTGGGTTGTTTTATGCCATTAGAAAATTTGCGTTCACTGAGAGAACGAGAAGTAAAAGTCCTGTAAAAACATTTATTTTTCTATTTTTCTGGGTTCTCCAGAGGTCATAAGGAGAAGATCTTTGTGGTGAAGTGTAACCCCATGTTGATGGACAAACTGGTCACTGTGGGAATCAAACACATCAAGTTCTGGCAACTTGCAGGTAACAATACAAAGTCAATTTAAATGTGGGAGATTGGTTTGTGACATGGATCCATCTTATTCTGTCTCTAAGCAGCTTCTTTTGAGCTTTCAGAAATATTTCTTCTGCTCTTTGTCATTTGATGTGTTTTATACTGTTGGTGAGGAGTCTTTGTCTCCATCTCAAACTGAAGCATCTTCTGTGGGAGAGTGGCAAGCAGGTCATCCATTATCTCCATTTGTTTCTTCCTTTCTCCTTCCCATGTCAATCAGTCACTGTACGAGGGGCGGGGTACACCCTGGACAGGTCCAAGTCCATCACAGGGACACATAGAGACAAACGAGACAAACAACCATTCACTCTCTCACACCTAGGGATTATTTAGAGTTGGAGAAAACCCTTATTTGAACAGAGAAAACATGACTTTTCTAAACAGAAAGGAGTCTGGCTTGGATTCGATCGAGCCACTTTCTAACTGAGAGGCAACAGCTTCCGTTGTGGTGATTACAACTCTTGGCTGATTGGCTACCTCATCTGATTATCCTCACCTGCGTTGATGAGCTGACTGGCTTTATAAGGCGTCGGCTCCAGAGGATCAACGCTGATGCATCTAACCATTTTGGTAGTTGTTCAAGCCACTTCATGTTTATGCTAAGTATCTTGTTTCTACTCACCTTGTGTATCTTATGTCCCAGGACAAACTCACGTTGCCAAGTCGTCTGGATCCTCGAACAGTCTCTCTTGAAACTCATCCACCCGCAGGAACAATCAGGAWATCATCAGGAACCCAATCAGCCACTCTGCCTGAAGAAACTCACCACTCGGAACCCCTCCTCTGATCCATGCTCCTTACCACCWGGAAAACCTGTAAGAGAAAAACAACATTTTCATTCTACTCTCTATTCAGAATTATTCAAGTTGCCAAGAACCAAACTCACCTCCACGCTTCCCCTCTGTTCACAGCAAGACGCCCCAAGACTCCTCAGCACTGTAAATAAACTCACTTACCTTTTTCATCTTGTCTCCTGGTCTGGTCTCTCAGCTCCGCTGCCCTGTTGAACATAGTTAGCTTCATGTCAGTATGCATCAGCCTACCAGTTCAACAAGCGGGGCTGAGAACCAACCCATGCAGATTTCCGTCGAGTCRCAGTTTGGTCGTATCGAGAATAATGAATCCCACATCCAACAGTTATTTCAGCGCCAACAAACTACAGAAGGTCTTTTTCAGAGACTTAGCCTCCAGATGTCCGCCCTAGACGCTAAGCTAAGTGCGTTAGCACCTCCTGCCGTCCCACAAGCACCCCCCGTGCCGGTCACTRCTCCGCAGGTAAGCCCCACCCTTCGGGAGCCGGATTTTAGACCTGCTGAACTTTTTGAGGGTGACCTAGATAAATGTGGGGGTTTTTTGCTTCAATGCAGGTTAGCTTTTTCCCGTTCTCCTTCGCTTTTTCCCGATCATATGTCTAAAATCACGTATATCATAAACTCTCTGAAGGGAAGAGCTTTACGATGGGCGCATGCCTTTTTACAGTCACANCATACATATCTTATTCTGTATTTTTGAAAGCTCAAAACACTGTCCTGAGCCGTATGCAACGAAATTTCGTTTTGTATACACCTTGTGCATGCAACATGACAATAAAGTTTTTTTAAGTTAAAAAGTTAAAGTTATTACCTCCCACCCCCACCCCTTGGTGGCACCCCTGATCAGGGGACTTTTTGAGTGTTTCAAATTGTGTTTCCTCTACCTCATGGAGCTGCTCTCCACCCGTTGCTTGTTCTGTAGACTTTGATCTCTCTCTAAAATCTTTATTTTCAGGGCTTTGTGACGGGGGGCAAGGACGGGGTGGTGGAGCTTTGGGACGACACGTTTGACCGCTGCCTGAAGACGTACGCCATCAAGAGAGCGGCTCTGTCTGCAGGCTCAAAGGGTACAAACAGTTTCAATTAACTTGAATTTACTCTAACCACACTGTACATCATCTGTGTCAAATAAGAATATTTAAATATTTAACAAATAAATCAATTTCTCTATTGAGCTGCGCTAAGAACACACGTATAAATCACTGAATGATTGTAGCATTTCATTTAGTAAAATGAATAAATGCACATTTGAACCAGCAGCCTTTTCTGCAGTGACTGGCTGCTGAAAACTCTGAAATATCTCTGTGAGTTTTAAGTACAATTTATCACAATATTAACTTTGGGGCAGGAGCAGGTTAACTGTTGTGAACACATTAAAACAAGAACATCCTGTTCAAAGTTAATTTTGTATTCAACATTATTAAAGGCATATGAATATTGTAAATTGTTGCAAAACAAGGAAAGTCTCTGTAAAATAAGTGACTAATAAAAACAAAAAATGTCATTTAAAGCAGTATTTAGGAAAGCCTGCTTTAGATTCTAACTACTGAAACAAAAAATACTGGTTTAGTTTCAGTTTTTGCTCCTGTAGTGTTTAGCTGTGATGTTCTTGTATAGCTTTGTTCTGTTCAGTAAGTAAAGGATCAAACACTGTCATCATGTGGCCACACAGTGAAACTGTGTGTGTGTGTGTTTGTGTGTAACCAGGCCTTCTGCTGGAGGACAACCCATCCATCAGAGCCATCACTCTGGGTCATGGACACATCCTGGTGGGAACCAAAAATGGAGAAGTTCTGGAAATTGACAAAACCGGGCCCATGACCCTGCTAGTGCAGGTGGGAACACTTTTGTTGTTTTTTTTTTTTTTTTTGTGTGTGTGTGTGTGTGTGTGTGTGTGTGTGTGTGTGTGTGTGTGTGTGTGTGTNGGACTACAACTCCCAGCGGCCCGCCGTTTCCGCACTTCCGCCTTTCGCCGCACCTCCTATCACCGAACCCAAAACACCTGAATCGGACCCGGAACCTATGCAGCTGGGTCGTTCGCGGCTGACACAGGAGGAGCGACAAAGAAGGTCAGAGGAAAAAGAATGTTTTTACTGTGGCAGCAAAGATCATTTTGTGGCCAAATGTTCAAAACGGGTAAAAGCCAGGACCCACCAGTAAAACAGGGGATACTGGTGGGTCATATTAAGTCTAGCCCCCACTCTCGTCTTGCACTCCATACCACACTCATTAATGAACAAAAGACTGTTTCACTTCATGCTTTGGTGGATTCAGGGGCCGAACAAAACTTAATCT